AAAAAAAAAAAAAAAATACAAAAATTAGGTGTGATGTCCCATGCCTGTAATCCCAGCTACTTGGGAGGATGAGGCAGGTGAATCGCTGGAACCTGGGAGGTGGAGGCTGTAGTGAGCCGAAATTGCATCACTACACTCCAGGCTGGAGTGCAATGGCACAATTTCGGCTCACTGTAGCCTCGGTCTCCCGGGTTCAAGTGATTCTCTTGCCTTAGCCTCCCAAGTAGCTGGGATTACAGGCGCCACCATCATGCCTAGCTAATTTTTCTATTTTTAGTAGAGATGGCATTTTACCATGTTGGCCAGGCTGGTCTCGAACGCCTGGCCTCAAGTGATCCACTCGCCTCGGCCTCCCAAAATGCTGGGATTACAGGCATGAGCCACCATGCCCAGCTACAACTTCTGTTGTAAAATTATTTCAACTTAATTAAGATTCTCCTAAGTAAAATACATGTTAACACATCAAACAAATTTGGGTCAATGTGTAAACCTTCTATATACTTACAAAACTTAGAGAGTTATGTTAAGAGACTTGCTCTTCTAGATACAATTTCAAGTTTGAATACTGACCAATATTTTGGTTGAATTTGGTGATAGTTGGTAATAGTTTCACATCTACTTGAGAGATACTTAAATCAGTTGTAGTTACATGAATCATAGCAAGGTTCAAAAAACAAAAGATCCATTACTCTGGAAACCACCATTCTAAATTTAAGAGATGCGAGATAACTGAATTTTAAAATTACAATTGTAAAAACATTAAAAACTATACTTAATGTCTATCAGTTATTAAAGAAACTTTTTTTTTTTTTTACCTTAACAACAAATATTTTATCTCCAAACCCTGGTGTCATTCCTAAAATGCTCATGTAAGAAGCTTCACTGATGAAGTTTTCAAACCCATGGAAGACGCCACAGCCAGTAGCAGAGATGCGTCCATCGATTCCCCCTTGGCTGATGGGTTTACCAGTAACACAGGCGTGTCCATTAATATCCTCTAAGAGGGAGTAATTGAAAGAATGAAATGTCAAGTCCAATTTCTCTGTTGAACAAATATAATGAATTAAAGTCAAAGCACATTCTCATTTAATGCTAATTAGGAGTGTGTATGAATGTATTTAAGGTACACTTTTACCAATAGGGACAACACTCACTTTTTCAGAAAAAAGACTATATTTTTTTTTTTTTTTTTTTTTCGAGACAGAGTTTCACTCTTGTTGCCCAGGCTGGAGTGCAATGGCGTGATCTTGGCTCACCGCAACCTCTGCCTCCCAGGTTCAAGCAATTCTTCTGCTTCAGCCTCCCGAGTAGCTGGGATTGCAGGCATGTGCCACCACGCCCGGCTAATTTTGCAGTTTTAGTAGAGACAGGGTTTCTCCATGTTGCTCAGGCTGGTCTCGAACTCCCAACCTCAGGTGATCCACCCACCTCGGCCTCCCAAAGTGCTGGGATTACAGGCATGAGGCACCATGCTCAGCAAAGTAGACTATATTTTCTGACGGAAAAAACAGTGTAGGGATTGAACATCAAGTAAGTACAAATAACATCACAAAAGTAGAGTTAGCTCAGTCTAAAGCTATCATTCCTTCAACAAGTATTTAAGCTCTACTAAATCAAGGCACATACAAATCCCATTCACGAGTGTCTTAAAATCTACTATAAGACTTGAGCACGTCACCAAAACAGAGCTTGAGACAGGAAGAGGCTTTACAATTTTCTTGGATGGGAAGACTCACAGTTGTCTTCTGTCACTATTTAAAAAGGAAGTTTTTAATATAACTTGATACTTAATATAACATGATATCCAAGTTCATCTAAGAGTAGACTAATGAAACTATTTAATGAAGTATTTTTAGAAAGGTATGTGTGGATGAGAGTCTCTGCTTCTGTGTGAGTAGAGTATCTTTGGTAGCAGTGGTTAGCTCTGCAAAGTGGAGATGGGGTTAGCAGTCTTCACCACCCATCTTTCTGTCCTTTTTCAACTGAAGATGTGCATATATTCTTGTTCAGAAACAGGTGTAATTAAAAAAAAGAAGAATAGGGCTCAGGAGGGCATCCCTTCGAAGGCATCAAATATACTATAAACATGGCCATCGGAACACTGCAGAGTAAACTCACCAGTGGAGCAGGAGAAACTACAGTCTTATTTTATACAGGCAATCAATACAAAATGAAAATCCATATAAAATTTTAAGTCAGTGGCAAAAGTATGAAATAGTCAATAAACTTGTTGAAGCAATTTGCTATCCATGTAAACAAAATGAAATGCCTTACTTCACACCAAACCCCTAACTCCCAACATATCCCTAACGTTCCAGCTGGCTGAATTAAAAAGTGATCTGTTCTTTATCTGTATTGTTTAAATATTTTTACACAGAGAACTTAGAATTATATTATTTGTATAATTACCAACAAAAAGGATGAAAGCAAGGAAGGAAAACGCAGTCTAGTAAAGTGATTTATAAAATTAGTTTTCCCACAATTCGCTTTCATGAGTAATTAACACTTATGAATACAGAAATGCAAACTGAGTGCCAAATGCTTTTCAACAGTGAGAATGCAAATGCTGGCGCTGAAGGAAATACTGTCTGGGGTCAGGCCTGGCGCCAACTGCCAGGCTCCTCCAGCGTACGTAATGGTCCTGAAAGCCCAGAGAAGAATACATTCTCCCACCAACACTGCACTTCTAGGTGGGGCTAGGATGAAAAAGGGCGGCACGTTCCAGTTCACATTTAGAAATGAGTAACAAAAACAATTGCGTCCTTCCTGTAGGCCTTGATTTTAGATTGCTTATCACTTAAAGAAGGAAAATTGCGTACCAGTATAGTTCAAGGGGGGCGTGCTTCACAAGACTTTCTCTTGCTGTTAGCACTGAGAATGAGCTACAAACAACATAATGTCCACTGCTTTGCACTACTCAATGTAGTGTCTTGCTTAAACAGAACAAGAGACCGGCTGGGCGCGGTGACTCACGCTTGTAATCCCAGCGCTTTGGAAGGTCGAGGAGGGTGGATCACCTGAGACCAGCCTGGCCAACATGGTGAAATCCCAACTCTACTAAAAATACAAAAAAATTAGCCGGGCTAATGACAGGCGCCTGTAATCCCAGCTACTTGGGAGCCTGAGGCAGGAGAATCTCTTGAACCCGGGAGGCAGAGGTTGTGG